TGAGACCTTTACTCCATGATCCAAAGTAATAAGCACCGTCAGCAAAATGATAGACTCCAGATCCATGTCTAAATCCATTCAACCAAAACCCAATGAAATAATCACCATTTACCCATTTCATAATCCCTTTACCACAAATTTGCCCACCCTTCCAGTTCCCAATATAAGAATTTCCAGAACTCCAGAAGTGTCTACCACAACCTTCAGGTTTACCTTCTTTCCAAGAACCTTCATAACTGTCTAAATTAGCATATATCTTTCGTCCTATCCCATGATGAATATTCATCCTCCAAGCTCCGCTATAGATAGATCCACCAGAATAGTTGAAGGTGCCAAAACCATGGAGAGAACCATCAGAGATATCACCCTCATATTTTGCTCCTGATGACCAGATAATCTTTCCCTTACCTGTCATCTTTCCATCTTCCCAATCACCCTCATAAATCGTTCCTTCAAACCAAGTGTACTTTCCCTTCCCATGTGGCAGCCCATCTTTAAAATTTCCAATATATACATCTCCATTTGAGAGCACATTCTCTGGAAGCCTGAAAAAATAAATTCTCTTCAAATATGTACACGGAGGTTAAATGACCATGTGTGCAGGTGCATGACAGTGTTGAAAGGTACAGAATGGATAAGAGAGATTCACTCAGTTAAGGACAAAAATTACCCTTGGATATCTTCCATGAGCACTGGTCATGCTTTCCTAATTGTGACATCCATGACTTTCATCTATGCTTGGATCCACTTTGGCAGCTCTGAAATACATTAAAAATCGTCACATATAAGGGCAAGTAAGACCTCAAAAATGTAAAATACGACAACCAAATGAAAGTGTTCACTTTCACCGTCACCATCTCAAAGGTTTTTTGGGAGTATTTTTACAAAGTTGTTTCCAAAAGATTGCTTTGCGTACAAATTATTAAAGAGTTCTGTTCTTACAACTATTTTTAAAAATTATTCTACCAAACAAGATGTATAAATCAAAAACTGTTTTTTAATTTTTTAAAAAGAGAAAATCGTTTTTAAACCTGGCTTTCAACAGACCTTTAATTATCTCCACCACAATAAACCCCCATTTGCCAACAAAAATTTACGGTGTAATTTCTAATGCCCAGCACCATATAACGTTGAGAGTAGGTGGCTGCATCTTGGTGCAAAATATTGGAACAGAAAAAATGGTACATACATCACGCACATAGCCAAGAGTTCTTATTAAAACAAGAGAAACGACAATAAAATCAACAATTAGCAAATTTTCTGAATGTAAGGCAATGGCTTGGAGAAGTAGATAATCAAGCACGAAATAATGTAAAATTTTCTTTCGCACCCCTTGAATTAGCATTCTTAGGACTATTACTTTAAAGATTTGTAAATTCTTTCATGACCCTTAATTTAAATTAAACCTTAAATTATGGAAATTACAACCATCATCCATATGCCATATTAACTGTAAAATCTCTACTCTGAGAGCTCACAAAATCACAACCTATAATGAATAATATATATCTAGGAGGGGCTGCAAAGAAGATGTCCCTCGATCAACCTAATCCCTAGTCGCTGCACTTTGTTTGAAGGCAGGGAGAACCAATAGAAAAAGAAACTGAACAGAAGTAGGGATGGTTAAGGTCAAGAAATGATTCTTCCACTTTAGAAAATTTATGCACTCATACAAACACTATTGAATCAAAAGTCCTGCCCTGCCTCCAATATAAAAGAACACAACAAACTGCAATAGGAGAAAAACATAATTACTAACGTTCCAACTGTGATGAACCCCATTATATAAAAAAGAATCTCCAACAAACAGGGAAATCAAATGACAAGAAAATTGAAGCGACTATTTGGCTAATCTAGCACAAATTATTAAGTTTTTCATGAACTGAAGTCAAAGGGATAGCGAGAGGTATATCAAACTTGGCTAATCAAATATACCGGGGAAAGAATATAGAAAATGAATCGAAAAGCATCATTTTAAGTGTCCACCAAACAAAAGTTCCATAGAACTATTCAATGCACATTGCTCACAATGAACAAATAAAACAAACAGCTCAGAAAACAAATAGAAGTACAAACTGAATTGATTTACATCAGAATAAATAAACAAACAAACAAACCAGGAATCGGCACAAGGCAGACGAACAGATACCTCTTAGAAGCTAAACAGATGGGAGAAAATCGCAAGAGAGAGAAAAAAAAAAAAAAAAAAAAAAAACTC